CGGATCATATAGTCGATATGCCATTGATTCGGTGTTGACTCCAAGTAAGATGCACTTGTGACTTCTATAATCGAGTTTTTTTTTCCTACATTGCTCAGGTACATGTACACATGTACATGTACATGTACATGTACAATGCATCCAAACACCCTCAACATTAGGTTTCATCCCACTCCAGTACTCTTTAGGCACCATATTATATACAGCATGTGTAAGGCTCTGGTTGAGTCCATGGCACGTTCACTTAGCTGCTTCAGGCTAGAAATACTTTCGCATTACATTTTCTGTGAGCAAGCATCGAACCATATTCATTGTGATACAATTTCTTCTTTCTGCCACCCCGTTCTGTTGTGGAGTGTAAGCAGCTGTCAACTGCCTCTTAATCCCATTTGTTTCAAAAAGTGATTGAATGCACTTGAAGTGAACTCTCCTCCCCTGTCTGTTCTTAAACAACAAATGTAATTTTCTGCTTCTTTCTCAACAAGGTTTTTGAAAGTTCTAAGCATATCAAAAACCTCATTTTTTCAGAAAGAAGTATATCCAAGTCTTACGAGAGAAATCATCTACAAAAACTAATATATACCTCTTGCCGCTTTGAGAAGTAGGGGATATGGGACCACATAAATCAGCATGAATCAATTCGAGTTTCTTTGATCTCCATTGACTCTTCTTCTATATGATCTCTCGATGTGGCTTACCGATGTTGCACACTTCACAAACCTTCGTTTGCCCTTGCAATCTAGGTAACCCTTTCACCATTTGCTTGCATTGCATGACCCTGATGAATTTGTGGTTCAGGTGCCCGTAACGCTTGGGCCAAAGGTTTGTTGTGTCCCGTTCATCAACCTTTAAACATCTATCTGAGAGAGGCTTTATAACAGCCGACACTGCGAACATTTGGTACATCGTTATCCTTGAGTTTAGAATCAACCCTCTTCGAGGATGGCAGATTCTACATGCACTGTATTCAATTACAAAAGCTACAACCTTTTCTTGTAGTTATCCAATGCTTAAAAAATTGTTAGTTAACTCATGAACAAAAAAAACATTTGTTATTGTTTGGGTTATACCCTCAACCTCAAACCTAATGTTTCCCTTTCCCGTAACAACTAACATGGAACTGTCGCCCAATTTTACTGTATGTTTGAAACCTTCATCAATGTCAAAAAACCAGTCTTTGTTGCCCGTCATATGGTTCGAACACCCGGATTCAAGAAACCATATTTTTTTTGTTACCGTTCCCGTCAATTTCAACATGGGCCATTAAAAGCAATTCTTCACTTTCATCGAACTCGACGTAGTTTGCACCCCTTTCAAGACTGGGACACTCATATTGAAAATGTCCTAACTTATGACACCGGTAGCATTCAATGGTCGATCTAAACTCCGGTTGTGTTCTTCCTCTTCCTCTTCCTCTTCCCCTTGAACTGTTACTACCATCTCCTCTTGCAAAGCTGCCCCCAAGTTAGGTTTGTACTCAACTTTTAATACTTGTTCTTCACCACTCTTACGTCGCACTTTCTGCTCATGCACCAATAAAGAACTTTGTAACTCATCGACCGTTAATTGATCAATGTCCTTGGACTCTTCAATCGAACAAACAACAAATTTGAAATTCTCTGTTAATGTTTGAAGTATTTTTTTTTCAACGATCTTAACATCGTTCATGTCCTCTCCACAATATCTCATATCATTTGTTGTGAACATTACTCTTCCAAAATAATCGGTCACCGGCTCTCCCATCTTCATCTCCAAGGTTTCAAATTCCCTTTGAAACCTTTGCAACTGAGCCCGCTTCACCCATGTGTTTCCTTCGTACTTTACTTTCTTCGAATCCCATAGTTGTTTTGTAGTCTCCTTCAGAGTAATAGTCTTCAATATGGATTTGTCAATAGCCTGGAATAAAGTTGCTTGCCTTAAGGTCTTTGAGTTTTGCTTCATCCAATGCTTTTTGTTGTGCTGCTGGCAGTTGTACTCTAACTGTGGCTTCCTTGTAGCCCACTTCAATCACACACCAATATTCTTTTGAGTGAAGAAAATTCTCCATCAACAAGCTCTAATGATCGTAGTCCCCATCAAACATAGGCACACAAGGGTTTTGAAAATCTTTTGACTCACCCGCCATCTCTCACACACACTCGTGTTTCACTTCTTGAACTCTCACTTGTTTTAGTTACCCACTTATGGGCCTCTTGTATTTGCTCTGATACCAATTGACAAAACAGAGATAACTCGGGAGACAGAAAAGAAGTAAGTTTGCTATGAGCTCCCAAAACGTAGTGATCCATAAAATTCAAAAGAAAGCACGGGTTTAAATAGCTTACACAAGAAACAGAAAGCAGAAAAATAGGAAGAAAAACAGGACATAGATTCTACCAGAGTAAGAACAATTCAAAAACAAAAACTACTGCAATTGACTACCTAAGTTTTAGAACCTACGCAAAGACTAATTCTCTGATGACCACTTCCAATCAATTTTCCTACAATCATGTGTTGAGTTCACTATAGTTGATTGAACTCCAGTTTTGTGTTCAAAATATCTTGGGGTTGCATTCAATTTTATTATCAATTTTGTAAAACGAAAGACTTCAACAAGTGCATACTATGTATACATGCATGAATAGATGCACATTATGTTCTAATGTAACAACGAAGTGGCATGATTTTGAGACATTTACATCCATATCCTATCACAGAAGTAGATTGCATATAATATATCACCTTCATATACATCTGCCATGCCTTTCTTCTTTGTCATCTTATAAATATCCCATGATGTAAATGATCAGATGAGGAAAGTTTAACAAAAAAAATTATTCTGTTATTATGTTTAAGAAAATTAAAAATATATATCAAAATTACATATAAAATTTGAAAGCAAAAACCAGAAACAACCATAGAATTAAATTTTCAACCACAATACACAATCATAGTATTCTTAAATTTTAGTATTTAATGTAGCAATGTAACCATAAGCGGCATAGGATATTGGTTGAGGAGAAAGAAATACAAGTGGCATGAAGAACAAGTCCAACCTCATTTACTCGAGTTAGTTTTGAAGTCCAAGTGACCAACTTTAATTTGTTAGGTGATAACTTTTATTGCGTTCTTTCCTTTAAATATTAATTTGAATACTTCACCATTCAAATATAACATGTCTTAAAAATACTGATTGTATACAAAAAATCATTTAGAGTATATTTTATACATAAAAAATACATATATACTCTTGTATTAATTATATTTATACAAATCCTTCATCATTAATGGTAGCATCACCTTTCATCCCTCTAATGACAACAATACTTCATATATGCAAAACATCTTTTTTTTACGAAAACCCACTTATAAGATATATATAAAAACAAGTTATAAAGCATTTAGTGCATGTTTAAACACATTCACATTATAAGAATTGATAATTATATGTTTAGCTGAAGGATAGTTGTTAAGTCAGCTAATACAAAAATATTCTATAAATACCGGATTTCTTTTTTAGTAATGATATTACATTAACTTTCTATTTTGGGTATACATTCAAATTTTAAATAAGCTATCTTACTCCATATACAGATAGTTTATATAATGACTTGTTGACTTTGTTGGGTAATGTATGTATATATAAACACATACATGGTCTACGGGGCTGTTTGTTTGGCTCTTAATGGTGACATTAAGAGCCAACCTCTTAATCGGTCAGAGGTTGAAGTTGTTTGGCAAAAAAAAATGCCTCTTAATGGTTACAAACTCCCTCTTAACCATTTTGCATTGAGGGTACCACTAAACCATTCAGATTACAATTCTTCCCACTTTACCCTTCTCCACCCTTTACCAGAGTCATCGTCTCCTTCACCCTCCTCCATCTTCTCCATCTTCTCCAGCTGGTCTTCACAGCCCCTCCCCCACCCTTTACCAGAGTCATCGTCGTCGGTCTTCACAGCCCCTCCCCCACCCTCTCGTCGCCGGTCTGCAAATCGCCACCCCCATCCTACAATCGTCTGTCGTCTCCGTCTCCGTCTGTCGCCTCCATCGTCTCCATCGCCGGCGACTAGGCCCGCCTCTGCTTCTCCGATGATTCTGCTCAGGTCCGCCTCTGCTTCTCCTATGATTCTGCTTCTCCATTTCGATTCCAAGCTACCCAAACCCAACCTCCCAAAACCCTCATAAACCTCCTTTGGCAAAACCCTATTCCCAGTTTCTGCTTCCCTACTTTTCTTTTCTTCTTTGCTGTTCTTGCTGTCTCTACTTCCTTATCAGACTGCTCAATAACTACCCTCCTTTCTTTTGTTCTTCTGGTTTTAATTCTAGACATTCACTTCTGGTTTTAATTCTATGTGGTTTCATGTTTTTCTGCACAAATGTATTAGCAGCGCTATGCACAATGGGTTGGGTGGATTGTGGTGATTATGGTGGTGATGTAATAGGTTCATCATGGGTATTAGAGGGCTTTTCTGTAGGTGTGGTAGTTGTTCTTGGTGGGTTTAACAGGGAGCTTGGTGAACATATGAGTGTTTGATACGTTTGTATTTGATTAATATGAAAACTTGTTTTGAACAAGTAATGTTATGTTTGTTTGGATTAATATGAAATATGTAGTTATATTTACAAAGTAATTGTTTTATTCAGATATCTGCCAAACAGCTATATTTCATTCAGTACTAAATCATACAGAGGGTTAAAATGGTAATTTGTTATCATTCAGAGAACATTTACCAAACAACCATATTTCATTTAGCACTTAACCATTCTGACCCTCTTAACCATTCTGACCACTTAACCATTCTGTACAAAATCATTCAGCAACTGCCAAACAGCCCCTACGTCTCTTCAAAGAGGACCATTGTGTATCCACATTTCACTCTTTTAATCTCTCTCTCTCTCTCCCCTTAAATTGGAGGAAGCTGGATCATAATTATTCCCTGTAGCATCCCCTCTCTCTCTCTCTATATATATATATATATACATCTATATTAATATAATTTCTAGAGAGAGAAGAAGATATGGAAGTACAATCGAAGAAGTTCAGAGGGGTTAGGCAGAGACAATGGGGGTCTTGGGTATCTGAGATCCGACACCCACTCTTGTAAGTTCACCAACTATATTATTTTTAATGTTGTAATTATATAAAAACTATTATATTATCATGTTTACATCGTTTTAAATAATTATATCAACTATTATTTTGAGGAAAAAGAAATACTATATCAATTACTCTTGTTCATGTTTTTATTTGATTTTAATTATATATATATTAAATCAATGATATACATTCTGATAACGCAAAATAAGTAAATTGTAATAATTTAATACATCAACAATTTATTTTATTCTGAATTTCACATTTGTTTGTTTTAACATGTTTTTATCCATATGATAAAAAATCATAAACAATCAAATCCATGTTTTGTATAACGAGTACTTATTCCATGGATAACAAAAATTTGTTACCATTGCTTTAAAATTTTCGCAAAATATGTCAAAAGTTCACGTATTGATAGTGTTATATCGTTTTTTTTTCATGTCTTTTGAGTTATAAAGAATGTTTTGTTTTTATATTTATTAATAAAAATGTGTACTAAATTAAAACAAATGTGCACATAACATAAAGAAGATAACATGTGGGGTTAGATAATAAGTTTTGGGTCTGTGGAAATTTTCTTCCAAAATCATGCAGGCTAACTAGGGTTTTTCTTGGATGTTCTCCGGTACTTTTTGGGATTAGTCAAGGTGTACATAAACCGACTCAGACAACTATAATTAAAAAAGTAAAATATAAAAAAAAGATTCATGTTGTACAATTTATGTAGCATGTTTTACAAGTATTTACCATGGTTCGAAATGGCATTAGGTGTGCCGTACGTAGCGACGAGTTCAAGCCTCAAGTTTTAGGAGCCATGACGAAGCTACAACATTTTTTCAAGACGTGACTTATGAGGACAGATCTCTATATCACATATATATATATATATATATATATATACTTGGGATCATGTGAGACCAATGGTTTTTCGTGAGACCCGTAAGACCAATTCTCAATTCTTGAATTAGATTTATAATCGTCAGATCTGAACATTCATAAACGTCACGAGACTTCTCACTAATTACGAAATTGCCACCTTGCAACTTTAGACCATTAGATCATTAGTTTATAAATTTGATCAATGAACATAAATTGGTCTTACGGGTCTCACGAAAAACCCTTGGTCTCACGTGAACCCAACCTTATATATATATTTATATGAGCCTAATCAAATCAGAACTAATTAGTTTGTGTTAACCGTGAGGTCCAATCTCAACCACAAATCAATAGATAAATTAGGAAATTTATAATTTTGGTAATTTTTAATTAAAATTTTAATGCAAGGTCATTTTAGGTATTCTCTCTTCTCTCTCCTATCTCCTCTCTTCTCTCTCTGTCCCCCGGCCTCCGGCCACCGGCCACCGTTCTCCGGTGATACCACAGTGGTATCACAATGCATCTTATATGTGATTGGGTATCACATTGTGGTCTTTGTGCGATCGATCGGATATGTAACACAGTGGTATCACAATGCATCTTATATGTGCTTGAGCATCACACTGTGGTATCACCGAAGGACGGTGGCCGGAAGACGGGGACGGAGGGAGAAGAGAGGAGAGAGGAGATAAAATACCTAAAATGTTCTTGCATTAAAATTTTAATTAAAAATTATCATAATTAAAAATTTTATAATTTATCTATTGATTTATGGTTGAGATTGGATCTCACGGTTACCACAAACTAACCAGTTCTCCCTTGAATGGACCCCTATATATATACTTATATATGCCTATGCATGTTTTCAACTATCACTCAATGAAGTCAATAATATTAAATAATTTAAATTAAGTTATATGTTAAAAACTAATAAATAAAATATTGAAAAATAAGAAAAATCAAATGTCACCTTACTAAAACCACAAACTAGTTCATTACATACCACATATCTAAAATAATATGAGACACTATGAGCCACAGTGTGGCACTACAGCTGTTAGTACGAGTCTTTTAGAATAGTATTTATGTATGTGATACACCGCAGTATTTCACCTAATTTGACTTCTCAAGAATTTTCTTTTTTATACTATATTTAATTTAATAAAATAAATAATTTAATGTATTACAGTAATATATTTACAAAGAAGACATTATTGTACAATGCAGGAAGCGAAGGATCTGGCTGGGTACATTTGATACGGCTGAAACAGCCGCAAGAGCCTACGATCAAGCAGCCATCTTGATGAACGGTCAGAATGCGAAAACGAATTTTCCGGTGGGAAACAAGTCCCTACCTGGCAGCCATAACTCTCCGGCGGAAATTCCGGCTGATACCCTCACCGCTAAGCTCCGTAAATGCTGCAAGGACCCAGCACCGTCGCTCACATGTTTACGTCTCGACAGTGATAATTCCCACATCGGAGTGTGGCAGAAACACGCCGGAAAAAGGTCCGGCTCCGGCTGGGTGATGAGGGTTGAGCTCGGTGGCAAGAGAAAAGAAAGGGCAAGTGAGGAGGAGGAAACGACGTCGCTCTCAAGATCATCGGAATCTTTGTCTCCGACGGTGACGGACGATGGTTGTCCCACTGGGGGCGGCGGCGGCGATGAAAGCATAGAGGAAGAAAATAGGGTGGCAATGCAGATGATAGAGGAATTGCTCGACTGGAATTAGATAATGTTTTTGGGGTATAAATATAATAATATAAAATGTTTAAATAGTATTATAACATATATAAATTAGGAGTAGTATGTAAATTGCATGAAAAAGTGACGTATTTTAACTTAATTTTTATTTTGGGTAACACACTTTCAAAACTTTCAGTTTGGTATATAAGATGTAAAGTTTTAAACATTTAAGTACCCGGGTAACCAGTGAAGACTAATTTTAGACTTAAAAAAAAGACTAATTTTAGATTAAAAAAAATCCACGTCACTGATTAGGTCAACAAATAATACCGAGTTGGATACCACATCATTCGCCACATCAGTATGATAACCAGTTAATACTTCAACCAGTTATCCGGGTACTTAAATGTTTAAAATTTTATATCTTATGTACCAAAATAAAAGTTTTGAAAGTACGTTACCCAAAATAAAAATCAAGTTAAAGTACGTTATTTTTTCATGCAATTTGCCCTATTTTTTTTTCATATATAAAAATACAAATGTTAAATACTGTTTCTATAAATTTTTAATTTATATATAATAAAAGCAAGGGAAATGAAATAAAAAGTTGTAGGAGGCTGTTGAAGGTTTGGGGCCATACAACAATAGGGTATTAAACCCGTTTGTATAGATATTAAATACCAAAATGGTATCAAATTTATGATCTGTATATGTATATCTTGTGGATAATATAAACCAAATAATATTTATACAACTGTATTTTGACATATTTAATATCAAATATTTAATTATATTCACGTTGTATCTTTGAATGGTTTTAAATACCAAATTTGTGTATTGCAACATATTGAATCGATGATAATATTCGTCTGTTATTATATCTTTATTAATTTTTATTCTATATTATAGTTTAAATACAAACTATGATAATTAGTGGTAATTACCTTTCATTTAAACTATCTACTTAAAATGCTTGGTTAATTGTATCTTCTTTATAGTGTTTTTTTTTCCACACTTTATCAAAAAAATTGGTAAACACCGGTTTATAAGTGAATTGTTTATATATGAATTTTATCATTTAAAACGATTAATCAATTGATATATGAAATAGTTATTTATTATGACAATAATACTCTAATTTTTACAAATTAATTATCATATTTCTGTAAAACTCATGTATTGTGCAGTGCACACATAATATTTAACCGATATTTCATGAATACTGTTAGACTAATGATCAAAATAAAAACTATAGTTTACTTCTAATATAATGTTAGTTTTTTTATTGTAATTATATATGGACAAATTATAGTAAAATATAAGTACTTCATTATCGTTATTATTCTCTGAAACCTAATTTTAAAAACTTTATTTTTGTTTATTTCTATAAGGGTTGCTTTAATAGTTTACAAAGGTAAAATACATTCTATTTCGTGCTCAGGAAGTTATAAATATTTCCTTAACCAATTTTATAAAAGATATAATATGCTCTCTTAATTGAATACAAAATGATAAGTTTTCTAAAACGAAATTTTTGGAATTAGTTTTTTCAAAATAAAAAAATATTACAGGATATATTTTAGTTTAATATAATTTATCTATTTAATAACTAAAGATAATTAACTAGGAAAAATACGTATATGATAATTAATTTTTCTATTCACTCGCATATTCAACACGATGCGATGAGTTACACATTTACATGGTAGGTATGGCTTCACGAAATAAGCCTTATAAACTTTAATCAAAATACCATGTGAAATCCTCAATTTATTTGATTTCAACATGTAAGTGTCTTTGTTTGCTTGTTTTTCTTTTCTATTTTTCGTTAAGGTTTTTATACTTGGTTTAAACTGGTTTTTGGTCCAAGTCTGTTTCAAAACGTCAATTAAAATGGATTTTTTTTTCAAACTTGAAACAATGTTATTCTTGGATATATTTTTTGAGCTCCCATGTCAGACGATAATCAATGCAGCCAAAGAAGCACCTGAATTATATCGGTAATAGCACGATACTCAGACTCGGTGCTAGATCGCGAAGTTAAGGACTGCTTTTTGCTGCACCATGAAATAATAGAATTGCTTAAAAAGAAACAATATGTGGTGGTTGACCGACGATCTGCCAGATCCCCATCCCAATCAACATCAAAATAACCTTGAAGGACAAGAGATGATTTGGAGGAGAAGTATACGCCATGAAACATAGTACCTTTAAGGTATCTAAAGATGCAAAAAATAGCTGCATAGTGATCGGAACATGGGGCAACCATGAATTGGCTAACAATGTGAACAACATAAGCAATATCGGGACGAGTAACTGTCAGGTAGACAAGATAACCCACTAGCTGGCAGTAGAGGGTGGGATCACGAAGTGGAGCACCTGAACCATGCATGAGATGTAGTTGTGTTCCAAGGGTGTATTTGAGACTTTGCCCGATCTCGTAAGAAGATCTGAAAGTCCCGTAGAGTATATCGAGATATCAAAAGAATAATATGCAGACAAAAAAAAGCTTTGAGAAGAATGATTTGTTTATTGATCAAGGAAAGAATTACAAGAATTGGCTATTTTTTATTACAAAAGACTGATAAGCTATATATTTATACACAAAAAGAATGACTATAATTACAGTGCATAAAAGACAGTCCTATCAATCTATTACACGTGCCAAGATACCATATTTGATAATATTTGATTCTTAGAAGCTTTGTCTTGCGAATTATCCAAGTATGGCTAGTTTAGTGTTATTCTCACTTTGAACTCTTGGTTTTCGGACTTTGTCTCTTCAAACTTATTACTTCTTTAGATTATGTCTCTTAAGACTTATTACTTGGTTGCTTGTCCAAGTCATAAGTCTGTTCCCTAAACTCTGAAGTCTGCTCTTTAGAGTTATCACTTAGATGCATATAGAAGTCTGAAGTCTTTACCCGACCTCAGAAATCTGGTTTCTCAAATTTTTGAAGAGAAGTCTTTAGAGGTAAGACTCAGATGATTTCTTCCCTCGAACTCTGAATTTAGATCTTTCAGACTTCTGAAGAGAAGTCTTCAGATTTAACACTTAGACAATTTGAAGCATTTTATTCTTGATTTCACAATCTCCCCCTTTGCTTCAAATGTCAAACCCTCTATCAATTAGAATTGGAATAAACTTCTTTTGGATGATGGCATTGTAGTTCAACTGTGATTCATTTTCTTTCTTCATCCAAATAATCATCTTCTTGACTTTGGGCCAATCTTCATGTGAGACAATCCTTGGTCTTTTACATAAGCTTTTCTCCATTGAGTTATTCATTTGTTTCAAGGTTTCAGAATTGTATTTGTGTAGATCAAATATTCTGAAGAAGAACTTTCCTTGAAGATTTTTACATATGTAGCTAGTTGGTTCACATATCGCTGTGCCTGTGTATAGGCCTTCTATTCCATCCAAATATACAATTGGAGGAAGCATGACTACCCTCTCTCTATTCAGCAAAGGGCAATCTAGAAGTCACCCATTCCAACCCAGAGAGTAGTTGTAGAGTAGTTGTTGATCCTCTCTCTCAATGATTTGATGATGATCTTTTTATCTATCGAAGTGTATTATTTATGTTATTCAGTTTCAGCGATCTTCATTGAGTGTGTTCAGTGATCGCTGAACATGTATTGCAATTCATCCAGAGACCAATATACTAAAATAAGACAAAACTCACACCACAAATACTTCAGTGACGTCAAAGACTAAAACAGAAGATTAGAGACCAGCAAGTTCATGATCTAAAGCGGTGTTCAATGATAACAAGCTCGTCTACAAATGTGTGAAGTCTGTGCATGATTCAGCGAACACTGATGAGACCTTTCAGCGTCATTCCAGTGTTTTAGCAATCAAATGAATCTTGCCAAGCAAGATTGTTTTTGTCTTGTCCTTTACACACAAAGGCCAAACCCATAACTTTCTAAGTATAGTAAAGTACGGAGCCACTCCTTTGACTCTAAATGTGTTTACCTACTTTATGAAAGAGGACTGCTCATATATAGTCAAAAGGACTGTATACTGTAGCAAAACAAGCTTTCCTTTTAAAGCTTGCCACGTGCCCTGTAGCTTCTAAATTGCGTTTGTTAGAACCCTACTTGTAAAAGTATAAGTAGGAAGTCTCTTACTCTACTCATTTAGGACTTGGTTGATTGAAGCAGTCTGGACCAAGAGCTCTTATGCAGAAGTTACTAAGAGACAGAGCTCTTATTCAAAGAGCTAAGTGTCTTACATACAAATTCGTGCTCAACCCAGAGAAAGATCAAGAATTAAGCGTCGAAAAGCATAAGTACTTGATGCAGTGCTACATTCTAGACACATAGTCTCTGCACAATACATGCAGAGCCTCTAAGTCTCTTACTCCCCTAGTTTGCGCACAAGTAGTTCAGACTTATCTCCAAGTCACTAAACAGAATATGCCACGTACACACAAGTCGTTCCACATTCCAAGGAACGTGAAAGCTGAGAACGTTGAATAAGAAGCCAAAGTTTGAAGCCTAGAATTTAGGAGATTCTGTTTTACATAGTTGTATAAAAGGAGGTATCCTCTTTAGGTTATAAAACTGAAGATTTGCCAACTTTGAATACGCTCCCACTATAGAGATTTTGAGAGAATACTAAGTTAGATCGAGAGATTGTTCTTATACTCTTTATCTAATAAAGCAACTGATTTATTCAAAAAGATTTCATTCTTATTGTCTTGTTTGAATCTGTTAACCTAGATAATTTACACATTACTTGCTTCCACTCAAACTCTTTTTAACTGTGTTTCTTGATACTTAAGAGGAATTTGGGTTCCTACAAATGGTATCAGAGCCTGCTAATCAAATCAATTGATTAGTCGATCTATATGCAATAGGATAATCCTTTATTGTTGGTTAATTGTTTTATAAAATGTTTTCCATTCCAGATCTTAGATCTACTTCTTTTTAAAAAACAACTGCTTTTAGTATTCTTCAAGACTGCAAGTCTTTAAAGTTTAGAATCCTTTGAAATCTTTAAAACTTCCCATTTTCTTTTTCTCCAAAACAAATCTGAAATATGTAATCAATTTTGGAACTCGATGTATAGTGCCGGTTCCCTCACAAAACCTCCTACTCTCATTCGGGATGAATACGCCTAATCGAAGATCAAGATGATAAACTTTTAATAAGGTCTCAAATTTGAACTCCATGAATCTATTCTTAACGACACTTATGTTCCCATGACCCTAATCCCTAAGGTTCCACCCGTTGGAGATACCGTTGAAATTCCTGCAAGATGTGTTCCCAAACTCCAAAGATATTGGGACAATGAAGACAAAAGAAGGGTGGAGATCGATCAAAAAGGCCAAAAGGATTTTGATAATAGCTCTCCCAAATGAAATCGTCCAATCCTTGGATGCCTGTGAATCCGCTAAGGATTTATGGGATCAGTTGGCCAATCAGCTTGATGGCGGGATCAAAATGAAGAAGAACAGGTGTGCTCAATTTCTAAATGAGTATAATAGTTTTCAGGCCATCCCCGACAAGTCTCTCAAGCAGACGTATCATCATTTCAACACTCTAATGAACAAGTGCAAAAAGTACGACGTGATTAGAACACAAGAAGAGAACAACATGCTCTTCTTGAAAAGCTTGAATGACGAATGTAGAAACTTGTCGATGTCCCTTCAAGAGAATCAAGATTTAGAACAGTGGATGCTACATGATGTCTACGGCACCTTGTAGGCACAAGAACAAGAGGTGCAGAAGAACAAGGTCCCTCTTGCTGGACCGCTAGCTCTTGTCTCTGACTCCAAAGAGACTGGATCCAGCCAACCATCTAGAGAAATAATATCGAGATAGGATAGAAGAACAGAAAAGAAATCTCTGGTGATAGAGAGTGATGAAAAAGACAGAACTTAAAGCTCTGAAGATGATGACATTAGTGCCTTTGCACAATCCTTGGCTCTCATCACCAAGGAGTTTCAGAGGAAGTTTGGAAAAAAAGTCTTTGATAAGAGACGAAGTAGAAGCGATAGAGGAAGAGGGAAAAGTTTTGAGCCAAAGAACCCTCATTCTCAATTGATCAAGAAGGAGGAAGAACAGCTGAGAAGAAGAAGCATGCGGTTCGATACTTCAGATGCGGAAGGAGGGGCCACTCCTCTAAAGAGTGCAAAGGCCCTCTGGTCAAGGATGAGTTGTACTACAAGAACAAATATAAGTACAACCGACCTCAGATGAGTCTTATGTCTGAACAAGAGAACTGGGTCTCTAACTCTACCTCAGATGAAGAGGACCAAGCCTACTTCTATTGCATGGCTGTTAATCATGATGGAGAGGAGTCTGGATCTGGCTCCGACTCTCAGGTGTGCTCTACTTCTGGCTATTCCCATTCTAAACATAAGCAAAACATCTCTATTTTAACTCAAGATTTTGCAAAGCTACAAAACATAAGCTCTCTGATGAAAAAGCAAATAGAAAGGCTTTAGAAAAAGAAAAGAGTTTATTTGAAAGAGAAATAGAGCTTCTAACTGTAGAAAAAGAGGAGCTCTCTATGGAAAAGATAAAATTTTAAAAACCAAAGTCTCCACAGAGAACAATTTATAAACATAGTGCTATGAGCTTAAAAAGAAAATTCAGAAGAAAGAAAAGGAAATTATTGAAAAAGAGGGTGATAGATTATACTCCTTAGTCCTCAAAAATTACTTTCAAAAGGAAAGAGAATTCTTACAGCAGAGCTTACAAATAAAAGAGCTCTTGATTAAACAATATCAAGATGCTCAGCAGGTGTATGAAAAGATAAATTCTCAACAGGATAAAGCAGGAATAGGTTATATAGACCTAGACCTTACCTGTAAGAAGAAACCAATTCTTGAGTCTATCTTTCGTTTAGGGGTATAGCAGAAACCCGATTTTCCAGTTCTGCCTAAAAAATTACCATTCAAAAGAATTAAATTTGAACGTGGAGCCAAAACAAGAAAGCTCGAATTTGAAAATATCTCTTACTCTTCCAAAAGTATGCTCTCAGTTGATCTAAACAACATACAGAAGACATAAGAGATTTTTTAGCTTTGGTGCCCATAATCCTAAGCCTTCAAAACAAAACAGTGATGAAATCAAAATTGAACCAGAAGTGACCAAGAGTGTATCAAAAGATAATCTTTTCAAAACTCTGGATCCAAAGTTGATGGATGAGTTCACAAAGAAAGTGAGACAAGTACTTGAGCAAGATCTGCTTGAGGTCTTGAATCATCCCTCTCCTTCCCATTCAAACAATCCAGAAAGAAATTCCTCAGAAAATTTTGCAAGTTCCTCATCGACGCAGAAGAAGGATGAAAGCTTTAATACATGTCTACAGAGATCTCATGATTCCAATGAAACCTCCACCACTTAGAGTCCATAAAGAGATTTTCTTGACTCTGA